CCCCCTTCCCCTCTCTCCCCCCTTTCTCTGCCCCTCCCCCACTTGCTTTCTGTCTCTAAAAAACAATAAACTTAAAAACATTAAAAAAAATTTAAAAACATCTATGCTTTATCCTGTCTTCTGTGTTATCTCTGGATCTCTTTTTTTGCCTTGTTTTTGTTTTGTAATTTTTGAGTGGATACCAGACATTGTAATTTTTGTAATCTTGTCAGGTGCTGGGGTTTTTTTCATTCCTTTGTTCTGGGACACAGTTATGTTCCTTGAGAATAATTTGACTCTGTAATACTTATTTTGAACTTTTTAAAGGCAGAACGAAAGTAGTCTTTAGGGATACATTTTTCCTATTATTGAGGCAATACTCTCTGAGTGCTTTATTCCCTGTGTATTATGAACTCTTTAAATTCTGGCTGGTGGGGACACAAACAAACTTGTGTTGGCTGCCAGAGTTGTTCTACCTATTCTTTTCCAGTAATTCTTTCCCCTGCTTAGGGTAGTTTAATCACATGCACATGCTCATAAGTACTCAGCCGAAGACCTAATGGTAGCCCTCTGCAAACCTCATGAGTTTATTTGCTCTGTGTTTAGTTCTTTCCTCTCTGTTACTCTGCCTTGTGAATTCTAGCCACCTTGGTGCCTCTGCATTTTCAACACTGCCCCTTCAACTCAAGGAGACTGCTGGACACTGTTTGGGTTTTCTCCTATGTGCACTATGGCCTAGAAGTTCTTTCTAGGCATAAGCTGGGGTAATTGTTGCCTACTTTCCAGTGCCTGATAACCATTATTTTATATATTTTGTCTAGCTTTTTAGTTATTTAAAGAGGCTAAATCTGGTTCCGGTCACTCCATCATGGCTGGCAGTGGAGGTAATTGGATAAGAAGGAAGAAATATCTAAGCACAGAAGGAAGTGAGAGGTGGGTGGGAAAGATTGCCAGACCTTTCACAAACATAAATAAGAAATGGAAAACGTTAACAGTTATTTTAAGTTATTTCATGCATCTGAAAGTCTGGCGCATGGCTTGTTTAATCTTATGTAATAATTTCATGTTTAGAGGGGTGCCTGGGTGGCTCAGTTAGTTGAGCATCCAACTTGGGCTCAGGTCATGATATGGTTCATGAGTTCAAACCCCACATTGAGCTTGCGGCTGTCAGTGCAGAGCCCGCTTCAGATCCTCTCTCTCTCGCTCTCTCTCTCTTTCTCTCTTTCTCTATCTCTGCCCCTTCCCCACTCATGCTCTCTCTTTCTCAAAAATGAGTAAACATTAAAAAAAAATAATGTTTAGAGATAATGATTTATTCAGTATTAACCCCCGGAGTGATTTCTGTTGTATTTTGTAGGTTGCAAGATAATTTGACTCATTTGATTGAAACTTTTTGTTTAATGTGTTTACTAATGGGCTAGTATTTTAGCACATTTGTAAGTGTTTATTCTTTCCTAGTAAGTTTCTTAATTTTTTCCAAAATAGTGTTCTCAAACCCCAAAGATGAACTAGAGGCATGAAAAACCTTATGGTTAAGAATGTACACACAAAAAAAATGTACATCCAAGAAATATCTGGAAGTACTGACTTAAACTTGAGATTTTACTTGGAAATCACTCACTTTACTTGAACCAGTTGTGAAATTTCTATGCGTTGAATGCTGTAAATCAGTTAGCTCTATGATTCATAAGATCTGCAGGGGAGATAAAATTTAGTGACATTATAGTATTCCTATCATTCTCATAAATTACATTTATAATATTGTGATGTCTTGGAAGAAGTTAAGTATATTGGGGTTACAAAACATTTTGCCTTCTGTTTATTTTAATGGAATTTGAGGAAACTCCTGAAGATAATTAGGAAAGTTGTAATTGATGTGGGAAACTACCTCAGTCTTAAACTGGTGGTCTCATGGGAGAGAGAGGTATGAGACCTTACTGGTCATCTAAAAAGAAGTACATAAAGGGATGCTGCAGAGTGCCTAGTAAAATTATATGGATATGTGTAGTACTATGTGTGTGTATGTACACACTTGACATGTGCTACCTCATTTCATCCTTAAAGTAGCCCCTTGAGTTCATTATGCCAGTCTACTCTTAGAGGTATCCTCAGTTCTGTTTGACCTCAGAGTCTTGCTCTTACCTGTGAGATGCATAGGTGGATTCAAATCCTTGTTCTGCCAAATGCTAACAATGTGAAGTCAGATTTACCTCTCTTAGTCTTATATTCAATTAAGATAATAATGGTACTCTACATCAGGGTTGCTGAAAGGATTTTGTGAAGATGTTGTTTTCAACCTGAGATAATGTTGTCCCTTTGAGGACATTATTTTATTTTATTTTTTTTCAATTTTATTTTATATATTTTTTAAGAGACAGAGCATGAGTGGGGGAGGGGCAGAGAGAGAGGGAGACAGAATCTGAAGCAGACTCCAGGCTCCCAGCTGTCGGCACAGAGTCTAACACGGGGCTTGAACTCACAAACTGTGAGATCATGACCTGAGCTGAAGTCAGACGCTTAACTGACTGAGCCACCCAGGTGACCTGGAGGGCATAATTTTATACTGTACTTGTAAAAGCAGTGGTGAGAGTGTTCTGGCATCTAATGGGTTGAAGCAAGAATGTTGCTAAACACCTTACAATGCACAGGGCAAACCCCCACAGTAGAGAAGTATTTGGTCCAAAGTATCAATGTGGTGCCAACTTGAGAAACTTTAGTATGTGACCATCTTGGTATATTGCTAAGATACCAGACAATTTCATTTATATCATCACTAGTGGCTGCAGCTAGTGTGAAAATGAATGTTTATATTTGATGGTTCTTTTAATTCCTATTCCAGTCTAAGGATTAATCTTAAAAAAGAAAAAAAAAGATACAAGTACTTAATTGAATAACTTCAACTTTTTCCCTTTTATTTATATTCTAAAATATGAAATGGGAGAAAGGGGGAAAAGAAGCAAAAGTAATGGAGAAACAAACTTACATTGATACATAGTTATCAGTTTCAATATAATGTTAATTTTGTGGAGAAATTTCCAGTGTACATGTTAAATTATGAAAGTAATCTAGGTATATTTGAAAAATATACTAGGGTAGACTTGTAAACATGCATGCTTATTATTTTAGCCTTTATTTTAATGATTTTTAATATTTAGCATTTTTTAATTAACATTTTTTGGTTGTTTTCCCCATAGGTGTTACCTCATTTGGAAATACTTGGGAGACAGGAAAAAGTTACTAACAAAATGTCACCTTTTCAAAATCATTGTCCACATTTGGATTCAGTTGGTGAAATAACGAAAGAAGACTTAATGCAAAAATCTCATGTAAGATATAGGGTTTTTTCCTTGCTTAGAAAAATCATTCATTGCTCTCTCAAATGTGTGTTTTTTTTAAATAAATTACTGTAATACTCTGTGTTCATGGGCTCCAATTTATTATTTTTTTAATATTTATTTACTTTTGAGAGAGAGAGAGAGCGTGAGCAGAAGCGGGGTGGGGGTGGTGTAGAGAAAGGGGAGACACAGAATCCGAAGCAGGCTCTAGGCTCTAAGCTGTCAGCACAAAGAGCCCTATCTGGACTCGAACTCGTGAACTGCAAGATTATGACTTGAGCTGAAGTTGGACGCTCAACCAACTGAGCCACCCAGGCGCCCCTCCAATTTCTTATGTAATATTATTAGTCAATTGTATGTGTTTGGCTGTGTCAACATAATGATAATGCTATTTGATTTTTGTTTTATAGGGTACTTGTCAGGATTGTAAAGTCAGAGGACCAAATCTTTGGGCATGTTTGGAGGTATGTATATGTTTCAAAACTTTGGTATTATAAAAATTTATACCTGAATAAGGATAACTATAAGAGTTTTTTGACACTTAACAGATTTCATAAATGAGCATGCTTTAAAAAAAGATGATTAGTGATAACAAATTAAACTTTATAAACTTTGGGTTTTATTTTTTTTTATTTTTATTTAAAAAAAAATTTTTTTTAACGTTTA